CTGGGCGTGTCATGTCACCTTTATCGGGTAAAACCTTGAATCTTCAAAAATTATAACTTTTGCATACGGAATCCATTTTCGACGTTTTTTATATCCACGTGTTTGTATCGACGAGTACTACTTTTAGATTGTATTAGCTAATTTAGACTTCATTTTTAACTTATATTTTTATAAGGGGTGTATCCTAAATGATTTTGAAAAAATCATAACTCTCTCATACGGACTCCGTTTTCAGCGTTCTTTGTTTCATCGATTGACGGTTTACAGTGCATGATTTGTTTTTAAAGCTCCCTCCCATGTTTTTGCTGCTTGGGATTAAAATAATATATTCATTATCAACAAAGGAAGCATCAATAAGTATGTTTGGTGAATCTGTTCCATTAAATAGATTGTGTACACTTTTTCATTCATTATATATGTAAAATAACTATATCCCCATCTTATTTTGAAGAACTATTTACAGATTTTCACAGCCATTACAGGTGAAGGGACAGAGAATATGATTTTGCGGGCAAGTGTTTTTAAAGGCCATACACTCATGTGATGTATTTGATATTTTCTTCTTTATTCGCTTGCAAATAATCTAGATGTGTTATCAAAATTATGTTGCATAGAAGGCTAAATGTGGCGTCCTTCACAAGGTTATTCCACTTTTTCTGAAAATAAATTCATAGAGATCAGCTTTTAACGGTAAGTAGATCAATTTTAAAACCCAAAGTTTATGTAGTTCCATGAAATTCATGCAAAACTTCAATATGAACGCTGATGTTCATAAACTTGCCTCATTTTTTTCTACACAATAGTTTAATTTAGCTTTTAATCAATTGCAGATAAATTCAAGAATCATGTATGACTATAGTTTAATTTAGCTTTTAATCAATTGCAGATAAATTCTAGAATCATGTATGACTTTCATTTATGGAATAATAAGTACGAAGCCTTTTAGAAAAAAAAAATTTGGAAACAACAAATATTTTATATATAATAACGTCTACATGATTAGCAAGAAGCTAGATCACGAGCAATACATGATAAAATTAAAATACATAGATTTAGACAAAAGGAGATATGCTCCACTCAATCCACCTAGCTTTCACACCTTCAGTTCTATATTTGAACCAAGTATACGTCTGGGAGATCACTTCATCCACCACTTTTTTATGGTACGTCCTTATTTGTTTAAATACTATGTTGTTTCTTGCCACCCATATGAACCATAATAGTCCATTGAAAGCTGCATTAATCCTTTCTTTCTTACGTGGGAAGCTTCCCCAGTTCGCCACAATATTAAGAAGATCTGCCACACCATTGAACTGAGTAGTAGGTATTTCACACCATTTTAGAATCCATTGTTGGGCCTCCATCGCAAATCTGCAGTTGATTAGAATATGATCACATGTTTCTTTTTCCTCATTACAAAGCAGACAAGTATCAGTTTGTACTTGTATGCCTCTAGCTTCCAGATTGGCTGCAACCAGTAATTTTTTTAACAAAGCTCTCTATATGAAGCAACTTATCTTCAGTGGAACCACATTGGACCAACTGATTTTTGTAATTTTCTGCGAGTTAGAAGCTGTGGAGACCAATAATTTCCTTAGAGTGCCTACAGTGTACCGACCATCCTTGTTCCAGTTAAATCTAAAACCATTTTCGAGTGGAAGTGTGTTGACATTAGCAAGCATGGAGCATAGGCTTATATAATCATTCGCCACCTCGTCTTTCATATACTGTGTTTTCCAATTCCAATTGAAGCCTCCTATTTTGATCCTATCAACAATTAAGCATAGTTTTGCAGATTCTAACTCATATAAGCGAAGGAAACGTTCTTGAAGTGTAAGAGGACCACACCATCTATCCTTCCAAAAAAGGAAGGATGAGTTTGAACCATGTATTATTGTGAACATTTCATGGTAATTAACATCAAATCCGGGTAGGGATTGGATCGCCTTTGCTGAAACATCCCATAAACACGATCCAAAAATTCCGTTTTAATTTATAAACAAAACCATAGTAATCAAAATCATCTCATAAAAACATAAGTGAAAATATCTCAAAACATCATATCAAACATTGTATCAAAATCATATATCCAAATATCAGACTAAATCATCCCAGGCTAAACGTTGTGGTGTGTGCGATGCAGTCATCCCGAGCTCTTCCCCTTACTAGCGGAAGTACCTGAAACCAAAACTGAAAACTGTAAGCACGAACCTTAGTGAGTCTCCCCAAACTACCACATACCATACATATAATCACATAATCACATACATTGGGCCTTGCTCGCTACATTGGGCCCCACCCGGCATTGGACCGAAGTCCGGCATCGGGCCCTGCCCGGCATTGGACCGAAGTCCGATATACATATAACATATCAACAAGCATATAACATAAACACATAACATAAACATATAAACATTCCTCGGGCTTGCCCCGACATCGGATCGAAGCCCAGAACATATAAACATAACATATAAGCTAAACATTCCTCGGGCTTGCCCCGACATCGGACCGAAGCCCGGAACATATACACATAACATATAAGCTAAATATTACTCGCCTTGGCATCGGACCGAAGCCCGGAACACATAAACAAACACATGCAAGAATCACGAAGACATCAAGCATACAAACATTCATCGGGCTTTCGTCGGCATCGGACCGAAGTCTGGAAACATATAACCTACATCGGGCTAACCCCAGCATCGGACCGAAGTCCGACATACGCTAACATACATAAACGGGCCGGCATTAGTGCCTTCGACCCGTTCCTACTGGAGGAAAACTCACCTCAAATGTCGAGTGAAGTAGTTGAACGTCTCTGCTCCTGCAACTGGCTCTACTCACGCCCTATACAAAAAAACCCCTTAGATACCATTCCTTACATCAAGACCCCTTCACGGGTCAACCTTGCTCAAAGTCAAGGTCAAAGTCAAAGTCAACGCTCAGTCAAAGTCAAAGTCAACTATCCGAGTTGACTCAACTCGTCGAGTCATCCTCCTGAATCGTCGAGTTCCCTTGCTACTCGTAGTCGTGATAAAACGAGTCAACTCGTCGAGTCCCTTCACAGACTCGTCGAGTTCTACCTTGTACAAAATCGGGACAAATCGACACAACTCGTTGAGTCCCTCTCTGGACTCACCGAGTTCCTCAGTCTGTTTTGCCCATCTTAATGGATTAAGCCCCTACTCTTCAGATCTAAGCTTCATGCTTCTCATATACACTGAAAATGTCCTTTTAAGGGTAAAGTTTCCAACTTTACCCATTAATACCTTTACTTAATGGGTTTAGCTCAAACCCTAACTCTTTAGGACCTAGATCTTGGTCCACAAGCCATCCATACTCCAAACTAAAGCATACAAACAGAGATCTAGACCCTAATCACTACTTGAACACGTAAAGCTTCCACCTTTCACTCCATGCATGGCCTTTTGGAGCTTAAAAGGCCAAAATGACATCCTATGGCTTGCATGGGGCTTCAATGGCCATAAAGTTTGCACCTTTATGCCATGAAAGCCCTTCATGATTCCAGATCTGTCACACCCCGGCCGATGGCGGAAGCACCGGCGTTGCGACGTGAAACGTTGGTTCATAGTTAACAACATACATCGAATATTATAGGATTAAAATAACATTACATTCTTCCAAAGTATGAAAAAGAAGAAATACATTGTTTAGTAAATCCCAAACGAGACTAATACATAATTCAAGTTCTATAAAGCATATAACAAGTGGACCGGTTACTCGGTCAATAGTTTATTTAAGTAGAAATATCCTCCTTACCCTGTGAGCATTCCTCCAGCTTTTAAGATCCTGAAGATACATAAGTTTAAAAATACGTCAACAAAAATGTTGGTGAGCTTTATAGGTTTAGACTCCAATGGTTTATAATTAAAAATATATTTGTGACCTTTTAAGATTATAAAAATGTATTTAGTCCGCACTTGTAATCCCATACAAGTAAAATAGTTTGGTTTATTGTTCATAACCAAGAAATCATGAGTCGTGAGTATCGTGTTGAGAATATTATAAATATGAATTATATATAATAATGTTTTCAACAGTTATCTATTTTGTTCAAAAGTTCATTTTTAACGATAAAACTTTTAGATTAAAATTTATGGGTTCTAATATGAGCCTTCATCGACGTCGTGAAATATATAAGTGACTGAACGATTACGCCCGTTTTGACTCGCCAGACGATGGTTGTAGTTAGCAACCACAGGCGGGGCTGTCAACCCGTATGGATCTATACCAATGTTCCACGTTTCTTTCGGATTAACGGTTATAACACAGAGGGTTTTGTACTAAGTTTTTGAGTTCTTAGCGATGAAATGTTTCTCATACAGAATATCCTTAAATTGTTAAGTCTAGGATTTTTGTCGTCATTTGTATTCCGAGCCTTAACAATGTTTGCATTTCTTTGTCATCACATTCGGATATATAGTTGTACATACACTATTATACATATATTTTTAAGAGTATGTAAATATGTATGTATATATCATTAAAGGCAGAAAAATATTACTTCAATTCTTTGTTTTTTGAAGCGTTAATAGCCTTTTAATAAGTTTTCTTTTTATATAAAATATCTTATTTTATATAAACAATCATATTCTATAAAACTACTCATTTTTATAAAATACTACAATATCTCCTTATAAACTCCGTTTTTATATAAAATATCATTTTTATATAAAAATTATCATATTTTATAAAAACTACTTATTTTTATAAAATGTTACAAAATCCTTTTATAAACTCCATTTTTATGTAAAATATCAAATTTATATAATAATAATCACATTTTATAGAAGGTCTTTTTATAAACTCCATTTTTATATAAAACTAGAGTGGTTTCCCGTGCGTTGCACGGGACGGAAGGTGTTCGTTTTGTCAAATGAAATATATTGCTTGCATTGATATCCATAGTAAAGTACATTGCTATTATGTGTAAACCGCCATCGATCGGATGAGCAGAAATGCAATGTAAGTCATGATAGTAAAAGAAGTATAATGCTATATTTGAATAGATTTTCAAAAACAATGAAAACACAGTCTTATATCCGGGTAGTTTTAAATGAAAGTATAATATAATCTACAACAAATGTAGAGAGAACATTCTATTGATGCGAAAAAACAAAAACAAAATCATCTTTTGACCAATTTACCAATCAACTTGCATCAACTCCTTTTACCCCAGTAGAAACGTCATATGTTCTTCCTTTGTACAGGGAACTCCTGCAATTCCATAAACAACCATCTTATACTGGTATCACTAATAATAACAATACGAATAATGTAACTGGTACGACTTAAAAGAACAAACTTTAAAATTAACAATTTTGATTGAATTTATGGCTTGTTCTGTTATGTTTCCGATTTTTCTGCAAGAATTTTGTACATATCATCATGTCATCGTATTTAAAAAAAATGAAAATCATAAAATAGCTGATGAAAAAATAGATAAAAAATCACCTGCGGTTGCGAATGTCCAACATACTTGCATTAATCGAACTGGCATGAGTATTTTAAAATAACGGGATCCATCTAAGGATCCAACATATAACACCTTCCAAAAAACATCAGGGGATTAATACCTAATTTTTTTTATAAAAAACAATACTACAATGGTTGAATCTATGTAAGAAATAATAAGTAATTTCTATTACAGTCCATTAACACCAAGCTAAGAACCTTCATACATGCATCAAATAATTAAAAGAAACTGAAAAAGAATGGAAGACAATAAATTATGGAATCCATTACTTTGCTTTTGATTACATTTGAAAACCAATGATGAACAAAAATGATATTAACAACCTGTAACTTACCCATTCTCACCATCAATGAAAAGAAATCGATTTGCCAAAGGTGCAGGAGCCAGCTTATGTGGAAAAAGGGCTGGATTGAAAATGGAAATAACCAAGGGGTAATCTTGTAATTATTTTTGGATTTTTTTATTTGCTTTTGATTACATTTGTTTTTTTATTTAAGTTCCCATTTCAGCAAGTGTGTCTATTTGTTAAACTTGCTATTATTCTTTTATCTAGTAATAAGAAATAAAAAACAAAAAAAATACATACATCAGTCTTCACAGTTTAGCTTCTTTTCACCATTTAGTATGAAAAATGTCATTGAATATGATTCTCACGAAGCTGAAAACTGAATCGAATTATAGGTATTTACAAAACAATATGTATGCACTTGTTTTTGTTGGTCAAGGTAAAAAAAAGAAGAAACAAAATTAGAAAATTAGGATTAGAAATCGAGCTTTTAAAAGTTGAAAATTATTAACAAATTAAACAAAACCAATCTTTTTTAAATGACAACCTTTATCTTTTATCCTTTTTTTTTGGCAAATTACTCAATACGGGTGTCTTTAAAAACATCACAAAATCAAGAATCGAGATTAATGAATGTGAAAAAATAAGATTTTTTATGCTTACTTCCACTGCTTGAAGCTCCATTCCGATCGTCCCTTCATTCCACGAAATTAATGATTCTGTCTGTAGGTTGACTGTAAAGCACCAGGTCCAGGCTTCCCATCCACCTCATCATTCTTATTTGAATTTGTAGCCAAAATGTTCTTGTAAAAAGATGTAACTGGAGGCCAACCCACCACTTGTTCCCTGTAAAAAAAGTTAGCAATAGGGGTATTTGAGTGATTTCATTCAAATGGAGTTTCTGTATTTGGATTGCACTTACTTAGCAGCAGGAGGATAAGAACTGTTAACTTTGTTAAGACAAATTCCATTCCTGATTCTACAATCAAAACAGCAACAGTTTCTTTTCCAACGCGCTCAAGAATTTTCACCCCCTTACCATGTCGTAGTCGCTTCTGAGTTACAGACACTTTTATTCACTTCTTCCCGATGCTTCTATTGTCTGACAAAAGGGGAGAGAAAATGTTGTAATCCAGGTATCCCAGAAAGACCTTTATTATCAGTAAAACAGCATAATATATTAATATTACCCACAATTAATAAATAAATAATTATGTATTTTTCTTTTTTATTTAAGTTATTTATGATTAAAAAAAATAAAAACCTACTTGAAACTTGCTCTGTGTAAAGCGTCCCTCCTACTGCAGCTGGGACTCTTCCTGATAGGGAGTTCCCATTCAGATTCCTAATTAAACCAAATTTGTTAAAACAATAATTCATATGTTTTATATAATTATATATTTATATTTATTGTTAGAGAAAAGAATCTTACAATATTCGAACTGATGTTAAACCTCCAAGGCTTTCAGGAATGGATCCATTAAAGAAATTGTATGAAAGATCCCTGTTTTATATATAACAAAATATCTTTTATTTAACCATTTCATAACTAAAATATATATACGTATATATAACCTCTTTTCACACAACAAATCAAATACTCATTTTTCATTCAAATGAGAATAAATTATACTGACAATAAATTATACTCACAATAAATTATACAACAAAATATCTTTTTATTTAACCACGCTAGCAAGCATTCCTTGCAATTAACCATAAGAAACATCACCTGTCATCGAAATGAACAAATCTCAGCCACAATGACAGTGTTAAGGTTATAAACTCGAAATTTGTACGTAACCGGTGAATCCTAGCCCTCCTTTGGCCCTGATTCACACACATACATCAAGGATCAACCAAAAGATAACTTACATACAATGGATGATTTGCATGTGTACAGTTTGCTAAATGAAGAATCTTACAGGTGTTTCACCCTTTACTATTGGTGGAGCATATTCATGATCAGTGGGCTCAGCAAAGTGGCTAACAAATTGGGCCATGCCTTTTCAAATGAAAATAGAAGCAAATCAATTATATTTTTCAACCTACAATGTATGAATTAGAATTTAAATAGTATAACGTGTATGACATACCTGTGTATGGTGGACATTTTCTCTTCTCAGGAGGTGGTTTGTACTCCAGAGGAGGTCGTGGCTCAAAAAGCTTTAACAGATTATTTCAAACACCCCAAAATAAGTCAGCAAAGTTGAAAAAATTAGATATGAGAAATTACAAACCTGGAAACTTCAGTAGCATTAGCTGCATGAACAACTGTAGAGGCAGCTCGAGATGCAGATAGAACTGCAGCTTCTTCATTGTTTGACTTTTTAAACTCCTGTATAAACCAGTAATACAGTAAATTAATGAAAAGAAATTAAATGGAAGAGTGACCTTAGTGAAGCAAAGTAGGAAGAGAAGTGATTTAGGATTTAATGGATATTGTGGTTACCGGTCGTTCTGAAGATGGTTCGATCGGTGGCAGACATCCTCGTTCCTGACTTTTAGGGTTTTTTTGGTAGCAATGTTTTTGTTGAGAGAAGCCTCCGATGCTGCATCGTCGACGGTGGCGACATGGTGGAGCAGCTGCAGATAAAAATCGATCTCAAAAAGATGAAAATCGTGGCTGTAGAACTTCACATACCTTCAAAATTGAAGCCAAAAACCTGAAAATTGTGAAGTCGTCGGGGTTGCTGAATGATTGGAAACGCTTGAATCTTTTTCAATTAATGGTAATACTTGATGGTGGTGTCTCGATCCGATTGAAGAAAGCGAAAGTCGAATGAGAAACATGAGAAGAGGGGATAAGAATGGAGAAGCATCTGAGGCGGTTGATCGGTGGACGGATTAACCCCAAAGAAGAACACGTGAAGAGGCACTAATCAGAATCTGATTGGGTCGAGAAGCGGTGAAGCTAAGCAGAAACAACATGTCTCCATTATAATAAATGGCAAAATATACCCCTAAAAGAAAGAGGCCAATAACAAATGCAACTACAGGGACCAAAAGAGACAAATAACCTCCACTTTAAATTTTTTCACAATCTTAATATATATATATATATATATATATATATATATATATATATATATATATATATATATATAATAACAATTTTATATAAAAGTAATCATATTTATTAAAAACTGCTTATTTTTATAAAATGTTACAAGATTCTTTTATAAACTCCATTTTTATATAAAATATCAGTTTTATATAAAATAATCATATTTTATAAAAACTACTTGGTTTATAAAATGTTTCAAGATCCTCTTATAAACTCTATTTTTTATATAAAATATCAATTTTATATAAAATAATCATATTTTATAAAAACTACTTATTTTATGAAATATTACAAGGTCTTTTTATAAACTTCATTTTTATATAAAATAACAATTTTATATAAAAATAATCATGTTTTATAACATAAATCCAATGGAACACTTATGTATCTATAAGTCTAGTTATCTCATATTATATTTACATTTTAGACCTTGCTTGTAAATAAATTAACAAAGTAGGTCCTAAGTCTATAATTTTATTGGTTTGTTTTATTAATGACCATTCTAACACTAATGGTTAGTTTTGATTATCAACCAAAAATACTTGCATGGACTTATGTCACAAAGATAACCAATACATATATTTATATTGGCATCTAATATTTCATATAATCGTTTTAACGCTACGTGAACAACAAAGGAGGCTAGTTTATCATGTATGAAATATTTTCGTATACTCGTTGCATGTTTCTTTTGATATAGATAAGACGTTGGGTGGTAACATGTTAGAGAAAATGTTAAAGAGTATATGACATATTATGGTATTATACTTTCTTATCTAGCATGCAAAATGTGTATGTATCTCCCCCCAAAATTTGTAAAACTCAAAGAAAAATGGCCATAAAGACTCACCTTTGTCAATTGAGATTAGTTTTTTTTTTTTTTGGAAAGCTTCTTGTGACAAACCAAAAACTGATAACAAGGAAGGAAAGCGAGGCTCCTGCCTTTTCTTTGTTTGCTGGAAATCGTAAGTTCAACACCTCCAAGGGAGTTATTCTTGGGTTGAGTTTGAAATAAAAATTATGAAGTGAGTGAAGGAGTTTGTAAGAGTTTTTTGTGTGTCTTAAATGGGAAACAACTTGGTATTTATCAATTTGAAATGCACGCGTGTGTTCCATTATTTGGTGTAAATTATGGGTTTTTTAATAGTCTTATGGAGTACATAGTTAGTAGGAGGAGACAATGCATGTAAACTATTCTCATATGGATGGACAATTAGAGAGTATCTAGTGTCTTTAGTGAATGATTGAAATGAAATGGCACAATTCATTTATGTGCTCACGTACTAATTTTTGAGTGTGCATGTGGAGAGAAAGAGACATCATAGAGCATAAATAGGGATTCATGTGCAACCAAGATTTGTTTGATGATTACTCTTCTTTTATTTATCTCTTATAGTCCTTGATCTTAAGGAGTTAGTTACATTGTGACATTTAATTTGCCACCCATTGGTCTTCGTAATTTGTATGTCAATTTACGATATTCACTAATTCCTTTATCATTAGACAAGCTTTTTAACAAATCGTGATATTTGGCAAGTGGTTATAAATTTAAAATGTCCCACATATATTATATCATTCCACCATTTTTTTGGTTCATAATATAAAAATTTTATTGCGGTGGTTTGGTCGACACATTTTGACCTAAAATTAGTAATTGTTACAAGATCTGAAGGTATACTCACTTGGGACGTCCATATCCCAAAGATCAAGCTTCTTAGACCAAAAACCCAATAAAGTGATATCAAAGAGATCTAAGAAGCTAATAAGCAAGTTTGAGACTTGATTACCAGAAAATGATGAGGATGAAATGGAGTCTCTGGATCTACTATCTTCTCCTTGAATCCTCAAGCTTCTCCTTCCTTCACAAGCTTCAAAACACACCAAGATCCACTCAAAAATGACTCACAAGCTCATAAATGCATTAGGGTTTCTGAATCTAGGGTTTGGGACTTGGAGGCTAGAAATGAGGCCATCAAGTGGAGATTAGGATTCTTAAATAGGGTGCAAAACCCCGAAAATAGGGTGTCATCCTGGAAGCCCTACTTGTCGAGTTGAGGCTCTCAACTTGTCGAGTAGGTGACTTAAAATCCCGCATCAATCCTGGTTTCTACTCGTCGAGTTGAGGCTCTCAACCAGACGTTACATTTGCTATGTTACACCATGTACCATTTGCTACTTTCTTTGCAATGGCTGTAGCTGGACGCTTGATCAAATTGTGTATAGAATTGATACACTCCTTCCATAAACACGTTTTCTCATTTTTTTTAGTTTCCACCACCATTTTGTTAATAACGCTAAATGTTGTGCTTTTAGCGTCCTAATTCCAAGACCACCTTCTTTTTTGGATACTACTACTTTCGACCACGACACCCAGTGTATTTTAGACTTGGTGTCATCGCCTCCCCAGAGAAATCTCCTACGCAATTTTTCCAATTCACAGATGATCCCTTCAGGTGCTTTAAAGAGGGAAATGTAATACGTTGGGAGGCTGTTAAGTACAGATTTGATTAGGGTGAGTCGGCCACCAAAAGACAATGTTTTCGCTTTCCAGATCGATAACCTTGACTGGAACTTTTTAATTATTGGATGCCAATGTTTCTTTAATGACATATTTTCCCCTACAGGCACATCTAAATATGTGAATGGAAACGAGCTTTGGAGACATCCCAACACTTTTGCTTGTCTTTACAGATCTGCATTCTGAACACCAATCCCAAATAATCTCGATTTTTAAAAGTTAACTTTTACGCCTGAACTGATGTGGAAACATTTCAAAATTCTTGCTTGATTTCTTATAGTTGATGGTTCCCATTTTCCAACGAAAATTGCATCATCTGCATAGAATAGATGCGAGAGAGTCGGTCCACTATTGGGTAAAGTAATACCTGATAAGAGATTTTTTTCTATCGCTTTTTTGATTGCTTGATTCAATCCCTCCATAGCGATGATGAAGAGAAACTAGGATAAGGGATCACCTTGCCTAACCCCTTTGGTGATAGGAAATTCATCAGTAGGAGATCCATTGACAAGGACCGAGGCTTTTGAGGACTCTAGACATCCACGTATCCATGATCTCCATTTGTAACTAAACCCCATCTGTTCCATTACCGATTCCAAGTATCCCCAATTGACTGAATCAAACGCCTTTTCGAAATCAACTTTGAATATGAATAACTTCTCTTTTTGCTTTTTTAACCCACGAGTATACTTCATTGATTATTAATGGCCCTTCCAAAATATGTCTCCCCTCAATGTAAGCAGTTTGTACTTCTTCCACTACCGAGCCCACCACCTTTTTTAGTCTTGATGCTAGAATTTTGGCGACCACTTTGTACATACATCCTATGAGATTAATTGGTCGGTAGTCTCCAAGATGCAACGGGTCCTTGCTTTTTGGGATCAGTATGATGAAGGATGCATTACAACCATTTGCAATTCTGCCATGATTTTCAAAAAATGATACAAAACGGAATATGTTGTTTTATTAATTCCCACTGATTCCTTAGTATTTTGCATGTGTATCCATCAGGTCCTGGTGATTTATCCACTCCACAATTCCATATTGCACATCTAATTTCCTTTGCTGTGATTGGTGCATCTAAGGACTCACTCTTAGTAAGCTTACAAACCATCTTGCCAATCTTAAACAAATATTGAAACCAAAGGTATGGGGTTGATGTCTATCTTCTAAAAGTTTGCAACATTTCATATTTATTTCTCCATTTGCAAAATTTTTATAAAAGCTTTTGGTTATACAAATCCATATTCACGTTGCAAATTCAAAAAGTCAAAATCTATCTCTACTTATTAAAATTAAGAGGGAGTTATAGAGTTTTTATTCGCTTTTATTGCAGATTACATTACTTTTGCACTCAATGTGAAGGAAGTGATGCAATCCGAAAGTGTAGGAAAATTGAGAAATATTTTGGTATGTATGATCGAACACCTGGTGAAAATCTGTATAATTTAAGTTATTTTAATCGGTTAGTTGCTACAACCCAAATCTTTTTCAAATTACATTGTCATAATAAAAAGAACGAAGTTGTTGTAACCTATAAAAAAAATTCTTGCTTTCAATCCATAAAGGCTTCCATTATTTATGCATAACACTCACAAACACCTTCTTTTTTTTAGCATTTCATGTGCACTATTTATCTTAATTTGATGACATCGTCATTTAATATTTTAACTTTGTACATGAACGAATCACATATACAAGCCTCTACGGTTCATGTACTTACATTGGTACGGATTCGTTGTTCCTTATCTGACTCTGCCTTTCCGATGTCGATCCATATGCATATGATAAAAAAATCATACAAGTTTCCAACGAATATATGTTATCACATCATGTAATTTATTATATTTCACATTCATATAAAATAATTATTTATAGCATATATACCAAGTAAACTCCATATGAAACTCACTTTAGATTACTCAGGCATTCGCTAAATTCTTCACAACACGTGAACCTACAAGATCATCACTAGAATCTTCTAATTATTTCTTAGTTAACGAAAATCATAGAATCTTCTAATTATTTCTTACATGTATTGTTGACACTCGTTAATCCGTATATTTTTGTAAATAACTTATTTATTTATTTTGAACTTTGAGTTACAAATATTATTTTAAAAATCTCGTCTCATAATGTTTGTCAATATATAGTTTGTATTTATTACAGAATTAATAAATTTATGGAAAGCATTTTCGCATTCTAAAAAAAATTAATTTATAAAGAATCTTGCTAAAAAAGCCCTTTTCTTTTAGAATATATTATATATGACATAGATATCAAAAAGATCAAAAAACAGTGAGACCTTGCCCAATAGGCCTACACGGCTACACACCTTTTGTTAGTTG